GGTGTCCGCTTTGCGGTAATTTGTTATTGAAACCCGTCTGAGGTTTGATACAACAGGAACTGCAGAGGTTGCTGTTTTGTTTATACCATTATATTTAGAATTATATACGTTTATGTGAGTTTTAACAATGTCACGAGCGACAGCATCAAAGTCTAGAGCTGACAAGAATAAAACGAAAGATTCTGACAGAGCAGGAACTCAATCGGCTTCCGTGCCGCCTGTCAGCAACGATGTTGTGCCAGGACGATTTTCAGAGTCCGACTGGTAAGTTAGACATACATTATATGTTTGTTATGTTGATCCCAATAAATCCCAATGTTGCATTGATCCCAATAAAACAAATCTGGAATTTGTCTGTTGAAATATAACGATAGCGAATGTGTGTATTCTTCAGATTTGTGTTGTCTGAATATTATTTAATTACTAGTATATTAATTCACATTCCGGATGTATGTTGCGAATTAATATAAATAAACAATTAAAACTGACTTTTATTCTGCACCACCCTTCAAAGTGACTGACACAGGTTTATGCTAATACACTTGTAAAACAATCTACGCAATATGTTAAATGCAATCTCAAAATTAAATAATGCTGATCTGTGAAATTGGTTCACACTTATTCAAAGGAAACCATAGGTGTAGATGACCTATTCATACCAATAAAATCCTATAATGAAATGTGAACACCAATACAGAGTGACATTTTGAGAAATTCTCCTGTAGAAATTCTAGTATTAATGAACCACTGTTGGATGTGATTTTTCCTATGATGAGATTGAGCTTCAAAAAATGGTAAAAAAAAAAAGACTTCAGTATCAATTTCTCAACCACCAAAGTCAACTTCTATCAACTTCATAGTTAAAGTTCCATATTTTTTAAATTATTTCTATCAACATTTGGCAACAATGTGGTATAATTCAATCCATCATGTGTTTTTTTTAGGTCCCACCTCATTGAAAGGGAAGATGGAGAAGACTTTATTATTGATATGGTGGAAGAAATTGTTGATCAGTCTCTTTCAGTTATTTATCATAATTATATACAAAAACAGTTATTACCATTTACCATAACCAAGGCCAAAGATGACATCTTACAAGTCATTGAGGTAAGTAATCCCCCATACCTGATATCGCAGACACAGTTATTTTTTTTTTATTAGAAAGAATATCAGTAGTTGAAATTAATTTCACAAGCAACAAAGTAAACTGCAGTACACATGTAATAATTCTCAGCATACAATCATTTCAGGTCACAGTGAATTTCTTGAACATTTTTATTGAAATTTATAAAATATTCACCCTGGACGACCCTTGTGTGCCACTTAAATCCAAAGAAGACGCTTCCACATATAGAAGCTATTTGGTGTTTTCCATCGTCATTTGAAATCTATAAAATATTTATAACAATTTTATATAACAAATTCACACCTTCATTAAATTCAATACAATCAAATTTGCAAATACAGAGTGTACAAAAAAGCATCTCAATCCTTCACTTGAATTTAAACTTATTTACAGTTATTTAACAACATCGATAGTCCAAAATAAGTATATTGAATGAATTAACATTCTTCTAAAAAAAAAACTACATGCATAAAGATCTTGAACATTTCAATAAAAATATATTTGGGGGTTGAGTTTATCTCAATTTGAAGTTGCATTGTCTGGTTTATTTGGAAAAAAAAACTTGTTATTGAAAATAATATATCAGTGACGTTTTATCTTCTCTCATCAGTGGCGGTTCCTTGAAAGAGATGAGGGTGAAGGTGAGGCAGTCAACAAAGATGTGTCATGGCAAGAAGAGGAAGGTTTGTTCTAGCACTAATGCTTTTAATGCAACATTTTTGCTTGCCAAAATATTGCTACTACATTATGCACATTTTTATGTATTGTACTATGATTTCTTTGTTTATATTGGACCAATTAGATTTAATTTTGTTATTGTCTATATGTTTTGGTCAAATTAAAAAAAAATATTGGAAAATTCATTCAGGTTAGTTATGTGAATGGCGACAAAAGCTGATTTTGGATGTTAAAAGTTATTATTGAGATCTTATGGAAATAAGTCACATCTTCTGTTTTGCATTATCATTAGAGCCACTTCCAGCTGTACCTGACTCATGGGCACAAGGATCCGTACCAAGGACACTGATACCAGTCAGAACTCCTACTCCATCAGAACATGACACAGAGGTCACATCAGTAAGTTGTCTGTCTAGAGCAGGCACCATCAATGATGATGATGATTTCACTACGTTTAATGAAACATCGGCCGATGATCTTCTTGTTGAAGAAAAGGCAAAGCCTCAGGTTGAGACTATTGTGGAACAGCAAGAGGAGACATCGCCAACGCTGCAACAGGAGGTGCAAGAAGTTCCAGAAAAACCTACTGAGCAACCTGTAGCATTCATTCCTGAACCTGTAAGTTGATATTACACATGCTCTGTAGACCCTCAACTCAGTAAAGCCCTGCTTGGTTCTAACAGTCATTTAATAATGTGTCTTCTGAGTTCTAGCATGCATGTTTTTCTGGCAGACTAAAACTGCAAATTTTTCTTTTTTCACTCTGAAAAATTAAATTGAAAATGCCAGACTTCAACAAATAGTCTGTGTTGCTGCATTAAAAATAACTGAGCTCTGATCTAGTATGAAAAAGCCAACCTACCTATAATGGTAATACTGTGCATATGTCTTGTTTAGTACACTCACTGCACCATTATTATAGCATATCGGAATCAGAAATAAATATTCTTTTTTTGTGATAAAGAAATAAGCAGAATAGTGACAGATGTATTATGGTGTTAAAATAATTTTGCAATGTATTTGTTTAGGTGGTATTGTCCATGTAAAATCAAATCAAAGCTAGAATGAAGTAATGTTGTTGTGGTTGAAATGATTGTCTGCTCATATTGTCCACAATTTATCTGTTTCACTCACTGTACTGTGCACATTCTGTATTCCAGTCCATCAACATACCCATAATATATGCTGTGCTAAATGCAGATTTATCGCTTCTTTTTGTTTTCAGCCAAAGGAACAAAAGAAGAAAAAGAAATTCAAATATAAGCCTCATCGTGGTCCACTGAAATCTGCCGGACTAACCAGAATGAACCAGACATTGGACGATGCAGAGAGAGAAATGAACATAGCTGAAATCAAATCAGAAATGCAACAGTGTGATGTAGAAGAAATCATGGCATTTGATCTTTTACATATGCCTTCATCATGTCACTCAATATTAAAGGTGAGTCAGTTAAAGATGACATTATTCACTTCTTATAGTATTTGAAATAGAAAATGCTCCGCTGGTAATATTTATGATATTAAATACGAGTAATTGGTACGAGTATGAGTAATATAAGACTGGATACACTTTTCAGGCTATTGTCATCTTCTTAAGCCTGTTATCGCTTGTGATGAGCTTTGTGTATTTGGTGTATCTGTACTTTAATATATATTGGTTGCCCGCTCTATTTAATCCTACTTTATAAGTGACACTCACATGTATAACTAGATCAGATATACTTTATTACATCAGTGATGTGATGCTGCAATGTGTGTTGTATTTTTGGTAGGCTCAAGCTGGAAGACCACCGGGTAACAAAGAAGTCACTTATGATGAGAAGGGCAATGTGATTGCTGTGATGAAAATGGACCCAGAAAGACTGCCCTCACATAGGTATGCAATAATCCAATTATCAGTATTATCGCATACTTAAACAATTTCTTGTTTAGTTTTAATTTAAAACTAATACCATTGTACTGTATGTAATTCATGTTATATTTAATTGATTATTTCAGGATAAAAACTCAGTTTAGTATAGTGGATCCTGCTGTAGAAGCAGCACATGCTAGATTAATAGCAATGAGAACGGGTAGATATAGGGTCTCTCAAGCCAAGTCTAAGATGACTACTAGAACCACAACAACAGTAGGAGGAGACAGTAAGTATCTAATATGAAATAATTATGAACTAAATAATCTGGATGCAGATATACTTTACACCACCTTAGTATTAGTCCATTCTTGATAGTTCTTGCTACTGCTTATGTGTTTTTAGCTTCGCTGTCGACGAAGTCGAGCTGAGCTTATAGTATTACTTATTAGTATTCCTGTCGTCAACTTTACATTTTCGACTTCTTCTTAAAAACCCCAAACTATATAGCTGTGAAACTTTCTAGGAAAGTACCTTGGGTGGTTCTCTCTCAGATTTGTTCATTTCGTGTGGATATGTTCAATTGTATTTTTTATAGCCAGTATTTTTGTAATTTTTGGTAAAAAGTGATATTTTCAACTTCTTGTTATAAACCACAAGTCCGATTGCTTTGGTAGTACATATTTAGGTACTGCATGTGGACCTCTCTCAGATTTTTTCATTTCGTGATGATATCTTTGATTCTCTAATTTTGATGAATATTTTTGTCATTTTTGGTAAAAAGTAATATTTTCGAATTTTTGTTGAAAACAATAAGTCTGATTGCTTTAATACTATACATATTGTTCATTTTCTGATGATATCTTCAGTTCTTAAATTTATTATTTGTGAACATTATATTAATTTTCCTTTTCTTAATTTTTTATTATAGCTATTAAAACCAATGCAGCCACAACTCAAAGTGTACTGACACTGGACAGTAGTAGTCTACCCCAACATACTACTTCATTTGATCAGCAGGCTGTAACACCATTGCCTCCTCCGTTGGTGAGTATAATACAGTCTTGATTCACTTTACATCACTTGCATAATATTCTAATTATATGTAAATTAGATAGCTGAGTTTTCTAGATCAATATTTGTAAGAAAGCTTGTATACTTTGAATTGAATTTATAATAATTTCTGTAGAATACTTTATTTTCACTTGGAATTAATTTTCGCTGAAAGATTGATTCAGTGAAAATAAAATCCAGCGAATATACCGTTGTTCCTATATATTACATTTAACGCGTCAAAAATCAGTGAAAATAAATTATATACAAAACACTCAAAAAGTCTATTCTATGTCTAAATGTCTAAAATTAATTCCAGCTAAAATAAAGTATTTTACAGTATAATTATACAACAATAACAGTTTACAATCTTTATAAAGACAAACTATTATTGTGCTGACTGCCCAAATATTTCAAATCATTTTGAATTTTCTTTTTATTCACTCACTAATTATTTTTTTCACTTTTTTTCTCTACAGCTTGACTCAATGGAGTTGGCTCCTGGTGTTGTTGTCAAAGAAGGTAACCGAATTAGAAAAGGACCACGGCTTCGACCTCGTCAAGAAGACGTGGTCACATCAGCCACTATTAAAGCACTCCGTCCACTGGTACATGATGGTCCAGGTCAACGAATCAATGTTACTGCAATTCTTGGCAGACAAACTCCTGTACTGAGACCCATCCCAGCAACGGAACCTGTTCCCCCGATAAATCCATACTCGCGTATAATATCTAATTGACCTGTGCCTCAGATGTAAATAAACTGTTCATCTTTCTGTAAACTAGTATTTTTGTAATGTATTCATTTCTGTATCTCTACTCCTTTTTTTTATCATTCCCACTGTTTACACATGCTCCCCCAGACAATGACAACAATAATTAATATAGTAATTAATGTATGTATTTTCATCAACAGTTTCAAATGTCTAACTTATAGAAAAAAACAAAAACAGTACGGATGCAGTTATACCTGTGAAAATGACTCACAATTGCTTGTATCACATTTATATACAAAAAATTGACTCCAGTGAGCTGAGATCTCTTTTCATTGTAACTCTGTTTTGCATTTTGTTGAGAGATTGTTGAGGTAATAATGTGGTCGTAATTTTACAGTTTTTAAAATATGAATATTTAAAATGTGGTGGTCATATCAAGGTGCATGTTTGAATTTTGTGTACAATGTAGTTAACCTATGTTGTACAAGTCACTATGTGACACATATCAAAGATGTCATCAAGGTGCATGTTTGAATTTTGTGTACAATGTAGTTAACCTATGTTGTACAAGTCACTATGTGACACATATCAAAGATGTCACTGTGCGACCACCACCCTTTAAATGTGATATTCAAAATATCATCACAAAGATGACCAAGTATCAATTCAGAGTAATTGCAAAAACTACAACATCTGTAATGTAATACATCATACTTGTAATAATTTGAACTGTACATGATTCAAGCCAAGAAATGAGTTCCAACATTGATAAGCAATCCATATGATCCCATCTACTATAACACACTTATTATTTAATGTATGTGTACATTTCATGGCATGATAAGAAAACACTTTTACATATTGTATATAATCTGAAAAGTAACAAAACATTCCCTGTGTAAAACTTTGTTTTGATAAAAAATTGTAGTTATTTTCTATGTTTATAATATGACTGTTCTATATCTGAAATTATTCTATATTACCACTATGATGTTTATTTCAATAGAATTTTATGCAAGGATGCAATATAATAAAAAACTTTTTACCATGATCTGTATTGTCTTTCTAGTTCATATTGTAAGAAGTCCAAAATGGGGACTTTTTGGTTTTATCAGTCCGTCCATCCATTGCCATTTCTTGGACATTCCTGGATCTATTTGGTACAAAGTTGAGACAAAGACAAGTCATAATAGAATAAATATGCATGTTGATTGTATTTTTTTCGTTTCCTTGACTGGTTATTTTTTCCATATCAGTGCTTGATGAAGGAAAGGTATAAGAGGAAAATATTCGTCTTTGTGATTGTCTGTGACTTGACTTGAAAACTACCTGCATGATTACCTTGATGTAAACAAAACAAGGGTTATTTGTTTCTCCACTACGATATTTGTAAAATTTCACTTAAAATTGTCTCATGCAATTTTTATATGATCATCTTCAAACATGGAAATGGTATCCATAAAATGTCAATCAGGTTCAATTTTGTTGTGACAAGCATGCATACTTTTCAATAAAAATTAGGCATACTATAAATGGTAAGAATAAAGACATTTACACGGCTGATAGTGAAAATCTTAGGCTAGTACAAGATCTGTCAATTAAATAAATCTACTAAACTAAAGTCGTCACAAAAAAAACATTTTTCTTGCTCATATATAATTGCTGCCAGTGTACTACAATATTTGGTAACTTTTATACAATTTATGTTATATACTCTATAAAGGACAGTATATGTAGTTCCACCCACCCTAGTCCCATGTGGGCACTCGGCTTGTATAGGAAGGATATATTTTAAATACAAATTTATTCACGTTTTTAATAAAATAACGACTTCTGAAAAATCTAAACACCCCATACAATATTCGTGTTGATAAACACGAGGGTCGGCAAGGGGTATTTAATCATTTTTTTTTATTTTCGTAATAATGTAATTTAAATAAATAAAAACGTTAATTTGTAGACATAGGTAAGGTGTAAAATGTAATCAGCTATTTCATTCGTCCATAATTTGTACAAAGACATTATTTTTTGTAAGCGTGTAAAACATTGTCCACATTAAATGTCACAAATCGTACGCAATTTCCAAATTTGAATTTTAGACACAAATTATTAAATATATTATGAAAATGTAATTTGGAATTTTCTTTATCTGTTAAGTGTAAAAATCTTTAATTTTTTAATGTAAATGGAACTTTCATTTTATTTCCTGTAAAAACGTAAATGTCTAGTGTCTGGCGCCATCTTGTGGCGACTTCCTTATATCCAAGTTATGACAACTGCGCCGCAGATTGGAACGCATGGAACGCGTCCAATGTTGACAACAATGCCGATTTTCGATCCACATTTATTCCAAGCTGATACAGCACATAACAAGCATATACGTTTCAGTGTTAATATTCACTATTTTCTGTGAAATCCAAAGAACAGACTGGAAAATGAAAGGTAAGCCACATACGAGTAACTTGTGTGTTTATCTTTGAATAGTACATGCAAACGTGCAGCTAACATTGTAGCAGATTAAGAGGGAAACGAAGAGAAGCGACGAGAAGCGACGACTTCACTACTTTATGACCGCTACAACAATCACAGTTTACTAACTGCATTTTTTTATAATTATAATTTTGGGGAAACATTTTTAACATTGTTTTCACTTACAGATAACTTCACACCGCGCCGTATCTCGTCCACGGAGAGGCCAGTCACCATAGTAACACTGTGAGTAAATTTCTTGATTTTATGGTAATCACAGCTCGCTGCGTGTAGTGATGATCAAATTCAACCCCAAATATTGTCAAACCCATTGATGTACATTTACACCGGCCTGGACACAAAGGGCTAATCAAAACTTGTGTATGTATCATTTTGGAGGAATCGATTCAAATTCATCATGATAAATGGAACACAATAAATATGCGATCATAATCTTGAACTCCGTTTTATATTGATGCCTGCTGTTAATTATGCTGTGTACTTTTATATGTATAATTATATGCAATTATAGAGTAGTGTTCCGTCTTCTTTTAGTGATCAGGCGACAGAGAACGAGTTGTTTTGGAGTGGTGTTATTGTTCAAAAAGTCACGAGTGACGCGCAACTGAAGGAAGTCCAGAAAAGTCGTAGCAATGGTGTCGTCGCGACCAGTTCTCTGGTCAGTGGATCCATGAGTGGCACGTCCCAAGAAGAAAACGATGTACTTTTCAGTTGTCGTTCATCGGAAGCTGACAAATTTGCAGCTTCATCTGTAAGATCAGAATTTCTAAATAACCAGAAAGTAGAGATGTCCAAAGAAGAGTCTATAGTCAGCCTTGCTGTTGTTAATTTGTCCGTATCACGTGCAAAACAACAAATCGCCAGAGAGGGGCTTGAGAAGAATGTCCAAAACAACTTAAAAACTGACCTATTGGTTCAAGACTACGCTCAGGAAGTAATTGCGGGGGCCATATTGGTTTATTTTGGAGCGGATAGTGCGAATATAAGCGTTAGAAAGGAAGATAGGTATACAATAAACAACATTTCACTTCTAAGTTCACCACAATCTGTCTCAGAATCAGGACACGTTGTGAGTGAGACGCGCAGTCCTGTACAATTAATAACCTCGTCAAACGTGGGTGGTATCGTAGAACATGTAAATAATACTATGTCTCCAGAACATTGTGGCACCACATGTATTGTCAACATTATCCGTGAAATTGACGTTGAAGATAAGCGTTTGACAGACGTAAACATAACAAACTCTACTCAGCAAACACCTGGCGATCACGACACAGGTGGTATTGATGTACCTTATTCTGATAACGAACAGAGGACGAAGAAGAAAGTTTCAAAGTCAAGGGTCAGATCGTTTCTGAAATTGTTTAGAAGAAAGTCTAGAATACAAAGTGCTGCTGGAGATGGGGAACACGTTGATTCTTTGAAAAACGCCACGACATGTGGGCGCTTAACTGTGGACGAAGAGAAGCTAAAGTTAACTGAGTTAGGGGATCAAGAATCCAGGAACAAAACATGCAATAAAAGTGACAATCGGTTCAAAAAAGTTAAAAGAAGGTTTTCTAGACCAAAATCGACAACTCGCAAAGAGAACAAAAGCCCCAAATCGGCGACTAACATGTGATAATACCAGTACCAAGATGGTGGTCGTAATTACTAATACTTTTATAATATGTGTGTATTTTACTGTCGTTTGATGTAACATTAAATACATTTCTTAAAAAAGATATCGTTTCAGTAAATCTATTCAAGTATATTTTCCTTTCTTATAAATCACGCCCTCTAGTGGCAAGGCGCCTCTGCGGCGTGAATGAGTGACACGGAGGCTGTTCAAATCATCGATTACGTTTTGATCAAATCACAACACAACCAAACACAGTGCTCGATTTGAACGACACTGTCTTCACCCATATACGATATTTTGACGTCACAGAAGCATTCTATCGCTAGAGGGCGCGATATATAGAAATGGCGTATTGTCTTGTATTTCATGTGAAAAAGACAGAAGGGACGCTTAAAGTGGCGACGTCTCGCGAGAATCACGCATGGGTTCGCGGGGAATACAATTTACATCACAGTCACTTGAAGGCAGAAACATCCCAATAATTCTATCAGTAATATTATTATTCCCACTACACTAAATAAACCCGTGCGAATCGGACGATGTAAATGTAGTTGTGATGGCACAACTTTCCTAGTTAATGTTACTTTATTTATCATGAATACTATGCAAAATTACTAACACATTTTCATAATTATCGACGGATTGTCGGGTATCGGGTCAATCACCTCCCGGACAAAAGCCCCGTACAATCGACTCTGGACAAATTCCGCTCCAAAATTTGGTACGCAACACTTTTCAAATTGGTATATTTCAAGTCGTCATTCAATTATGAAAACCTGTATTATACTAATTAGCACGATATTGCATTATGGAGCATAAAGCTATGTTATTATATTAATGAGCCACGCTACTCTAGCAGACTGTCTTTTGCTACAAAAATGTTGACAGCAGTAACCAGAACTATAATGACCGAAACCTACCAAGCCTATACATTGATAGTACGCATTTAGCCTGAATTTTTTGTGTGTAGACGGAGTTTCTTTTAGGGTCACGTGACTTTAAAATAAACACAAGAGTAACATGAGTAAACAAACAACTAATAGCTCTTGCTGTCACAATGATACACTAATGATCACGTCATAAAGTATAAATGAGGAATATTTTTTTCGAATTAATGTTTCCATCATTTCGAAAATGGTAACTGTTTCGTCACAATTGTCAGTGTCAGTGTCTGTTTTTCCAGATGTCGTTTTAAAAAAATACATTTCGTAATCGATTCAATCAGTCATCCGATAATGTTTAATTACCCTGTACGTCTCATAAGCTACCAGTTAAAATAATTGTTGAGACCAATCAGACTGGAGCTTGTAATCCAACTTACCCCAGACCACACTCGTGTGGCGATAGCGATAACACCGGGACGAATGGTCTGGGGTAAATCCAACTAGTTATTTTAATAAAAAAAAACCTTGTACAAATACAGTGGTAGCGAAATACTCATACCCCTGTATATATATTATATTCAATACTGTAAAATGACTAATTTTCACTGGGTTTAAATTTCACTGATTTACCATTTCAGGCATATTCAGTGGGTTTTAAATTCACGGTTTTATCATTTAGATAATGTGTTCTATGCTAAATTTTACAAATTCACTGTGTTTTAATTTAGCGCATTTTTCCAGTCAGCGAAATAAGCTAAATTAAAACCCAGTGAATAATTACCCCCTTTACAGTATTATGGTAGAAGACGTGATGAAGATGAAGATGAAGAAGTAGAAGTGATGTGTTAAGACCAGATTGTTATATGGCAACTTACGTGAATTATTAAACAGTTATTGACTAAAGACTGGTAATATCCGCACTGTTTCAATTTGTATTTTCTGAAATATTCTCATATAAGACACATGAAAGAAGTTGTCAATTTTCACGACGATCAATTTGAAACGATCTATTGTAAAACGCGCGAATGTCATCTTTCTCAATGTATATTAAACACACGTGCTAGGTGAGTCAAACGAATATTAGCTACACATAGTCAGTAAATATACCTTCTTGAAATGAAGTGTTACCAGAACGGCTTATTATCAAAGTTGTTTTTGTCGGGGGTGAATTTCCGGGGTGCCGAGCGATTGCCCGGGAACGTTTGTTCTGGGGACCATCGTCCTAGAACCCATTTAATGGTGTACGCGATTATACGCAATGTACAAGTCGTGTTGATATAATCAAAAATTTCAACATTTCATATTAACACATATATTAATTATTACGTTTTTGGAAATATAGAAGTAAAATTGTTTAGAGCTACCGGGAAATTCTATTTTGTTTACTATATAGTGTACACGTCAGATACAATCGTTCTAATGACTTATAACCTTAATTACACCTGGTTAATATGCATGAATAGATACAAGTCAATCTGATGTAACTGCAGACAATTGTCAAGTTTAATCAATACAACATATAGAATATGATTACATATGAACATGTCACGTGATAATGTTTGTATGAGCTCGTCTGCCATCGAATCTGCACACCTTCGTCCTTAGCAAACCGTGTTATAAATCAAATATTTCTCTAATCATTAATAACACGTCTTGGATGGTGAATCTTTGATTTGAATATTAACAACATAGTTTAATCGCGCTATGCAACTTCACACGAGTTAGTGATTGTGCGCGCCATGAACGAGCGGCGAACGAGCGGCGAACGAGCCTGCAATTTGCTGGTCTAATTCGGACGGCAACCCACAAAGTATATATATTTGAACAAATATTTCAACAATTCCAGTTCATTGTCATTATTGCGTATAATTCTGTAAAATTGTAAACATATATTAAACTGACTACCACTTCAGGTAAACATCTAGTCACTGTTTTGAGTTTTTTCACCTTTCACCTTTTTCGGCCGGAAACCCCATTTTTTACAATACCTGTGACAAACGCGAAAATAAGTCTATTTGGCCCAAATTAAAAGAAAGAAAAGAAACAATGTTGCACCAATACTTTGGCTAAAAAACTATGATAATGGTGTTCAAGGGGTTACACGTATTCAAGAGATCATAACGTTAACTCCAAGATATTACATTTGATTTCCACATTTGAGTATCACTTAACTACATATCTACTTGTAACGCATATACCTATACGCTATACGTAAATATCATTGCACAGTTTATATACGGTGTTCCTAAATTCTAATCGACGATCAACTCCATCACTAAACAGCGTTGCATATTTCAACGACATTGTCGATTTCGACCTACGTCGGATTTTAATCAGATCATTTCGGCTCTAGAGGGCGTGTTTTTTTGCAACCAACTTGAATACACGCAGCGTTTAGAGAAATATTCTTCGAAAGCAAAACTCGAAACCTCAGTGATCCTATTTTCAAAAAGCGCCTCGAAAAACGGTTTAACTTATTAATTGAAGATGGATTCAAAGTGTCGTGTTCTATCTTCACGGCTTACATGGAACGGATATAAATGTTCAGTGTTGCGATACAGAGATACTAGCGTCAGTTACTTCACTTCCTCGGCAACATTTGCAGCATCCGACAACAGCCCGCATATGCTTCTTAAACGTATCGCTCATTCTGTGGTAGATAATCGGATTACAGCAGCAGTTGCTATAGGCAACCAGTCGCAATACTGTAAAGGTGATGTAAGTCCAGCCTGAATCCCCTAAATTATGGAAGTTGTACGTGAAGTCTCTAACAGCGTTGAACAGAAACTGTGGTCCCCAGCACGCCGCAAATAACAGCCAAATAATCAATAACATTTTAACGAGCTTCTTCTTTTGTTTGAGGCTTTGATCAGCCTTTACGTCACGATCAGGCCCATCGCCGATGTGTTGTCGAGTCCACAAACAGTGCGCGATACGAACGTAGACAACACCGATGATAAGAAGAGGTACAACCCACAGCAACACCAGGAGTACCGCTGAATAGACAAGAGTACCTGTTGTTTGAAATGTCTCTTCGAAAGTGTTGTGGATTGTTGCGTTTGTTGACCACATTTCTTGGCAGGTAGTATGCATGTTATCTACCGTATTCGATTCGCAGATTTGTCTAGTTCCGTAAACAAACAACAACGGTGACATGATCAGCGCCGACACAAACCATATTACGGTAAGTAACACAACCGCTCGTCGGTTTGTGCGCAGTCGTATGGCTTTGATTGGATACACGATGGCAATGTGTCGATCCGCGGCAATTGCCGTAAGAGTCAGCACGTTAATAGCGACCGATGAAGTCTGGACAAACCGTGATATTTTACACATTGCCTCACCAAACGGCCAATTCGTCGTCAATGAATATAAGGCATCAAAAGGAAGACAGAAAACTGCTAAAGCCAAGTCCGAACACGCCAGTGACAATAAATATATGTTCGTCACAGTTCTCATACGGCGAAATTTCACTAAGATTATGACAACAGCAGAATTCCCCAGAACAGCAACAATAAAAACAATTACATAAAGTATTGTCACGGTTACTGTAAATGAAGTTGGAAAATCGGGGAAAATAAATTTTGGAAAATCGCCGCACGGACCATATATGATGTCCAACAAATGGAGAATCTGTTCACAAACCGATTCATTCCTCACTATATCCGTACAATTCTCACGTAAATTGGCGATGAATGATTCTGGCAGATCATGATCACGCAAAAATTTCTCCCAAATATCGAAAGGTGACATTTTGATGAGTTAAGTCCTTAACTTAGTCCAAAACTGATCATTGGCGCGTGTGAGACCGCAAGAGCAACTTTCATTACCAAGAACGGACTGTCGCACGTCGGCTCGGTTCGTTGGTATTTAAACTATCGCATATGTGTTCACTGGAGCATGGCAACGCTACGATCACGTGCATCCATACCATGGCAAATATTAAGTATGTTGTCCGATTTATTCACATGATATATTAAAACCACAAGTGCAAAATAAATGTCATCCGTTAGAAAGAGAGCGTGGTTCCGCCACAGATTTTTCAAATAACAATCATCAAGTGGGCATCTGAAATTATTTTAATTAACAAACTCAGTTTCATGGTCAGTCAGCTGAATATTTCATCCTATGACGTGACCGGAAGCTAAATGTCCCGTTGCTACACAATGCTAAAGATAACACACCTCCAGCAGAAGGTAACACCTGACTCGAGTCTGAAAATAATATTGTTAGCTCACCCTTTCTTTTCTTCAATGCACAATTTACACTGTCCAAAGAAAAAGCATTTTACTGTCACATGCGTCACTAATTTGGAAAATTGCATTATGCTTATTCACCCGATGGGGAATTATTTGTTAAGAATGATTTATATTTAGTTACGATTTTCATTTCATGTTGATTTTCGTTCCATATTTATTACAAAATGTGATTCAATAGTACGTACGACTACTGCAATGCTCATGCACTATGAACTAATTACGCACAGCTGTATATGCACATCAAGGTTCGAATAAATTCACGTATATAACAATCCAATACCGTCTAGTTCCATAACTGGTATGAGGCGGATGGTGCAGGGTTGCTCGAAAACAGTAACATATTAGGATTCAACTATTAAACTTATTTTTCAGCAGCATTAAAAAAAAAACGTTTACTTTATTTAAACGCATGGAATAACAAAAAAACATTTTTATCACATCCTTGTATTCAGAGATATTTATTAAAACCCGAGACAGAAGTTCTCGCAAACGATAAGTTATAAAATCAAACTTCCTTTTTGTCGTGGAATTAGTGTAGCAACCAGGGAGCTCAAAACTCGGCTAATGACATTAGCGTATCGACGATGGTCGAACCTTTACACAGCAAAACGCCCTCAATCGGTAAGAAATACAAATTACCTAAACTCAAATACTCGCCGATAGAGGGCATAATTGTGAAGTCACCAATTTAACGAATAATTGCGTATACATGGTGGATATGCTATACCAGTTATAATTATCAGAGTTAACGTGGAATATGACGTCATCAGAGGCGAGGAATTAAATGTTGATTGGTAACTGAGAAAGTGTATACATGCACGATGTCATAGTAACACGTTTTACCTATACCATACTCAGCATCTGAAACAGTATCTTTATATAAGATACCAGATTAATCAAGCATATAGTAAGATTTGTGTGTAAAATATAGTGGATATGGACAAAATCATTTGCAGTTCGACAAATATATTTAATGTTGACGAACACTATACACGCGGGATGAAGATTAAAACATTCGTCTATTCGTTTACTCATTTGAATTTTAAAAATAAACATACTTCTTTGTTCAACCATTGTCGGTTTTATGTACTGAACGCACGGTGCTTGGTCTGTCTTACAGTTGTTCTCGGCACAGGGGCGTGAAATTGTGGTGAGCGAGAGGCCTTTCAAGTTCGTAACTCGAAATGAGGGCGCACTAAATAAGGTACACACTTTGTATGCCACATAAATTTAATAATAAAAAAAAAACTGCCAGACACTTCTAATACTGGTTCCAAACTTGGGAATATAACCCAGAAGTGAACTCATGAATGGAAAACGTGTTAGTGTCATATTCTTTCATTTCCTTTGCCCCGCTACAACAGGTGGTTCATTCCCGTACCTTGACCTTTCAGATGAGGAAGCTCTCAATGTCAACGAAGTCAAAACATCGATTCCACACGTGACCCCTGTTAACTGACGTATTCCTTAACATGTGTGTTACTATGACCTCTAGCTATAGTCGGCAGTGAAATATTATGCGAAATATTATTTTTTTTGGTTATGGACTAAATTTACTGATATATCATACTTATAAATATAAGGTTTGGTATCAGGATTAAATATTCAGACACAGAAACTCAAGAGACTAAGAAAGTTACTGTAATTTTACTGATTGTTGTATTTTGATTTCTCTATTTATTCAATTTGTCGAAAACGTTTTGTTCCGGGATAATGTACTGATTCAAAAAAAAATGGGTAATAAAAAGTGAACATATACTCAATGATGGAATAAATTAAATTTACTTTAAAAATCGAGAAAGAAAAACTCATATTGATTTTAGGGTGTTTGGAAGATGACGCCTAAACTGTATTTATTGAGAACATGGCAGGAAGTCATTAGCATACAATCGCAATAACCTGTGACTAACCAATTAATTTAGATGTTGAACAGCCGAGAACAGGGTAGCTGTGTCTGCGTAAACTGCGGTGGACGCCTTGCACAATAGTAGACCACCCATGTTCTTCTTGTTGCGAGATCTCGCGTTATGCGTGAAATCATACGTAAAAACAGGACAAAATACGTTACAGCGTCCTAGAGGGATTTGAAAAACGCGAAACTATCTTTTTGTGTTTTCACGCTTTAATAATGTGCTATATGATGAAAGTCAATTCTGATAAAGTAATGCCAAATTTTCTTTCGAATTATATGCAGAAGCTTGCGCCTTTTACGCATTACGCGAGATCTCGGAGTTAAAGGAAATCATCTACTCCGATGATGGGTGTGAATTTAGAAGCGCTCATACCGAAATGAGACATAATTAAGTAATTACGGTATAAAGACAGTAATGATACACGTGTCTCCATACTCGTAGAGTATGTCCTAGGCTGTAATTTATTGATTTTAGTGATAGTCATACTGGGGGGGGGGGGGGGTCAGTCATGTTTTGATATATCAACTGAGATTGGATATAGCTCGTTATGCATTATACACCACCACCATTTATATAATGTGAACTACTGTAAAACATGTATTTTTAGCTCGCATGTTATTTAGCTAATTTAGCTTATCTGTAATTTCGCTAATTCAAGATATCGCTAATTTAAAATAAAGTACATTTTCACAAAGAGATTGCTAGCTAAATTAAGATTCAGTTAATTCATGCATAGATTCAAATTCGCTAAAATGTCATGTAGCTATTTAAACATGTTTTATAGTACTTTTCGTTCACCTGAAGCATAGTTGTCCCACATAACATCGATTCATACTGATTAAATACATAAGATACTTTTGATATTTTAATTTATTAAAATAAATAATAATTATTTAAATGTTGTTTTATAGTACTTTTCGTTCACCTGAAGCATACGTTGTCCCACATAACATCGATTCATACTGATTAAATACATAAGATACTTTTGATATTTTATTTTATTAAAATAAATAAAAAATAATTAAATGTTGCGTTAAGATATAAACTATATTACATCACACAAACCATTGCTGCCCGAGAGAACAAGTGGCCTCTTGATATGAAAACATAAATTAATCGACTGTACATACTATAAGCATACATACAGAACAACACTCACATATAATTAAACGAGTACATCAAGTAAAACACTTGGTTAAAACATTTCTTACATTTTTCGAAAATCTTTACTTTTAATTGTAATTACTCAGGAAGATATCTCATTAAACCACACAAATAAATTCAACACAATTCGTCTGTTCTGTATATATTAACATATCATACTTTTAATCACACGAGATAATTATTAACAAAACATTGTATTGGAAACTTTCGATTAAATTTAATTTAATTTAAATAGGCTTTAGTTTGCTTACAATTTTTTTCCGCGTAAACAGTTCCTTCTCAGATCACGTGATCATAACGTGATCGCTAAATGTGTAACGATTTGTGCTAATAACTCCAATATCGACGATGACTGCTTATTCAAATCACGTTTTTTATTTTCGTCTGTCATGATATGGTCTGCGTGATGACTACCATCAGTTACGCCGTATTGACAGCGAGGCTGATGGTTAGTTACTGCGAACATCAACCTCAGTGTTAATACGGAGTAAAAGATGAAGAAGCAGAACACGTGACTAGTTGAACTTCACTCGGATAGGAACGTGCGCAGACGAGTGTTGAACCTGTGAAGATGAGAAAAGAATGGTAAATTTGCAAATCGTTGAGATAAAGAATTAAATATTAATTTTTGCTAGACTACAATTCAAAAATCTCATAATGTCGTGATTGTTGAAATAAATTTGTCGCCATTAGACGGATGTTTGCACGATGACGCCATATACCTCACTCAGCCTTCCTCTTTCTAATTGTCTAATGATTTTCAGGGTTTCATGACAACGGCGGATTTTAAAATCGCCTTTGTTTGTTCAATTTAAGTATCCGGGCAATTATTCACAGACTGGTTTTTTAGCAGCCGTTATACCCAGTGAATGGCAAATTCGAATTGTGTACCCGTCGTGCATTGCAAGTAAACGTCTTGAATTGAGTTGTACGTTTCCCCTACATGAACTTTAGATAACCGCGGTACATCTTTGGATATGAATATTCACTGCTTCACTCTAGTGAGTTTAGTATAGCAAGGGCAGTCAAGGACCCGAGGCACAATCAGGTGTCGATGTGATGGATACTATTTTAGAATCAGACAGATAGAGAGCGCGCGGCGAACTACACTGATTCGCTATCAACCGGTGGGTGCGAGGTCATCACGTGATGAAAAGTACACAGATAACGTCGGATGTTGCCATACAAAGAACGTGTGTACAAAGTTTACCAAACAAGAAAGTATCGACTTTATCGCTCAGTGAAATGTTTGCTGCAGCCCTGAACTGTGAAGGTTGAATAAAATCAAATGCAACCAGTGATATTGGCTGATAGTAACTATAATATCACTCGGCTATCGGTAGATCATTATTTCCACTATTGATTCAATTTAACCTATTTCGCCTCGTCTGTTTTTTCCACGTTTGGTCAAAGATTTCAATCAAGACCTGTAGCCAATGAGAAATTGTTTCAATTTTATCCAAAACTAATGAGGAAATAAGTATATACCACAATTGGCTGGAAAACAAAACAATTACGATATTGTACCATAGAGGAACAATAAAGTACGATTTAAATTAAAACATTATTTTAGCAACACACATAACAATATTCATTCGGTGAAATGAAGTAAAACGCGTGTGCCCGAATTTACCTATACGTACAGCTAATTCGAAGCGCATGCGCACTAGCGTTTTTTTAATTATTGTATCGCACGAATGTTGCTAGATTTACAATAAATCATTCTCTTTTTATCAAGATATATCATCAAACAAAATTGATTTAAACATTAAAATTTTTCAAAGCTATCTACATTTCCTCTTTAATGTTGCCCAAGTCATGGAACAGTTCTCCCGAGAACAGCAGCGTCAGGTATTTCAGCGAGATTTCAAAATACATAGTAATCTTTGTTGTAGTTGTTTTTAAAAAAAGATAAGTAGGGTATGCACGCTGTGGACCTTTGGCACACTGAAAGACTACTCTTATCTCTAGACGATATTAAAGCAATCGCTAACTACCGAGGAATGTTACTAGTTAGAACAACATAGCAGGGGGACGTGAACTTGGTTTACTAGATTGCGGAAAATTACCTTAGATTTGGGGACAAATTATTCTGGTTAATTTCACATATTTATCTTATACAAGATGCATTTAGCGCTACAAATCATACGCCTCCTTTGTTCAACTCCAATTACGAATTTTTTAACAGTTGAGTGCAGCGATATTTGAATGGATGTGTGAGTATATATTTATAAAAAGTAAATCTTTATAATATTTTAGCGTACCATTTTTGATGGAATCGCATTCAGTGGTTGGTTGCGTCGTCTGGTGAATATTAAAACATAATCATTTCACGTGTATGACTGCGTTCTGTATGGGCAACACATTTCTAAGTGGATTGCTGCTATTAAACATTGTATGTACTGGTTAATGTGTCAAAGGTCAAAGTTATGACAATTGTTTATCATGGCAACTAACTCACATAGACTTAGCACGTGGAACCGGGTTATAGACGATACTGTTTTGTTCATGTGCAAAGTCGGAACACTGCTATGTTCAGTTTTGAATTATGACGTAATAGCCGAATAGAAACAAAGCAGGGACTGTTAAACGCGAACTGAACCAGAGGATTGGCTGTGATCAAAATAACAAAATTGGAAATTACGGTGAAATGTTCATGAATCTAACTTTTCTTGATTTTGGAACTATTTATAATAAATACTCAATCAATTATATTCGAAAAAAAAAGAAATGTTCCTCTAGCATAAACATGTGTGTGTTTTAAATCACGTTGAAAAAAGGTCTTCGGAAAGTCATGCGACAAATTTCATAGATGTTTTGCTATACTTAAATTTTAAACCCGTTTTGGCGGGAAAATTTCCACGAGACGATATGCAAAGAATTAGAACCCATATATGGACCCCCCTCGTGGTAACAATGTTGCATTTCTAGCGATAACTACGCCATGTTGCTATCTTTGAATGACACACATATGATAAATGACATATTTAGGCGACCTTAAATGACATTATCTTATCACCACACCCTTAAGTAGCGTCCTTACACCAATTACTCGCAAAAAATAATGAATTATTTGGATAATAATCTTAAAATTAACAACGAAATTATATTCTTCTTTTACATTTCATTTTTTTTATATTATAAAAATTAAAGTTAAAAAAGTATCGCCGACCTTTTCGAAATTAAGAAACATGATTAGTGTACTGAATAAAAAAACACATATATACTAATTTTTCTTAAGCTTGGTCATTGCAGACCTGGTCATCAATACTTTGATCGGCGCACAGCAACAAATGATGACCGTATGCCAAATGTGCTATGTTTGAAATTACTGACATATTCCACGCCAGTATCTGAAAACAAGTCATTTACACGATTTCAATGCCGCAAAACGGTACATCAAATAACCGATAATAGTAATTTACTCTTAGTTTTCTCAGAAACATACCGTTTCCACTACGTCATTATAACAATTATGTGCAACCGTAAACTGACTGGGCGCAATAAATCAAACACCACAACGCGAAGACATCATAAGTTGGCTGGCCCCGTATGTGTACTCTAAATTGAACGACCCAAAGACAAATAAAAGGTTAACGAACGTACAACTTAATATCAAGAAATTTATTGTCCAATAAAACAGTGACGTGATCTGCAATCCTACTTAAAGTAGCCGACTTCTCTCCTGACATGGGCAGCCCATCTGGTCGTTGGAAAGACCGCCATGTGCCGTTGCGTGGATATTCAGCAACAGAATGTTTTACAGCTTTTTATGATACTTATATATTAATGAACAGGTATGGATGTATGAACTTACCGGCGGTTGTGCGGCGCCCCATGTGCCACAGTGCTGCTCGATCTCGATGCGGCTACGCTCGAATGATGAGATGCTCACCCCTTGGCGAAATGTCTGCATCTGTCGCAATTCGTTGTCAGATTTCTACTGCGCAATGAACGGTGCGCGGTCATCGGAGATATGTACCTCATATCGCCTGGTACCGATCTTGCGTGATGTTTATTCAGAACCTGCGCGTTGCCATCCTCATGCAGATAAGCCGCATGTACCTTTGAAAGGCGCGCGTTGCCATGCCTATTCATTCACAGTTGTTATTTTCCTTTTGCCTCCAATTAGCCAGAGTTAATACTTTGGAAGTGAGGGGCTACCGTTGACAAGAAAAAAAAGCTCTCGAGAATAACATAAGGCAAAGTGTGTGTAAATTAGTGACAAAAATATTAACACAGCTTACAATAGCAAACATTGATGTACTACGTTACTTATAAACCAAACCAAACATAGCACGCGGTCGACTCCCGTTAAACAAATACGATCACAAACACACAGTGAACTAACAGCGGAATAGTATTTTTACCCCAAAAATTGTACCTCATTGTATTTTCTCGTTTCTTCAGACATCAAATTATTATGTTCAATAATTTTTATTGGGTTATAATAACACCACGACGATGCATTCTGTAAGTACTCGTATCAACTCCCCGGGAAACCTGTTGCCAAGGTAGAGCCGTTATTAATCGCCTGCTTAGGTAATGTCTCCGCATTTTTACGATTCGATAGAAAACATCCTAAGTTTAACAACCCTCTGTTCATCTATTCACCACTTTGCAATAAACGATATGCTACCCACAGGGGAGGAACAATGAAATATTTGAGGTTATATCTTTATTGAATGTTTTACCCTCCCAATTTCGGCACACTTGCAGTATTTGAACTTTGTACTAACTGCAAGCTTTATCAACGTAACTCATCAAATAGAAAACATTTAATAACTGCAAAAATATATAATTTTGTCACGGCTTGGCCCTTTCAACATGTATGTTTGGCACCCAAGTAAAATCAGCGATGTTGAAATAATATTTGTTTTTATTTCAATCTCATTATTATGGTTGTTATACGACATGTAGCAGTCGTAAATTCAACATCACCCAATTCTACTTCTACATTGCCAGGAATTACCAACCAACATATGTATTTGAATTTTCTTTCCCGCCATTTTGATTGATTCAGTGAATATGCTTATGATATACTGTGATAACCGTTCTGCGCGGGAAACTAGTTCTAATCATTATTAGGGTTCGACCATTAATTTTTCAGAGGCGGTTAGACTCGAATTTTGTTTTGTACTCGATTACTGAATAATATGACATTGTGGGTCCCTCGATATAGCTTAATTTTCCAACTAATACTTGTTTTCACACTAAACAAAACTGACGAGAGTCTGTCGCCCGACTCAGAGCAGAGATATTTTGACCGAAAAAGGCGGAAATAAATACTCGTTAGGACGACAGGGGATTTAAATTTGGTCTAAAGAAGCCTATTATTTTTTGCCTATATTTGTGAAATCTGGCCCGTGTCAGGAATGTTTTTCCAAAAAAGTTGATCTCCCTATATCTATGGAATTTTTGGTGAAAAGTAACCCATTTGGGTGGCACATTAACCTTTCACAAGTACCCCTCCTCCGGGATTTCACACAAGCCTTTAATTTT